AAAAAAAAAAGAATGAAAGAAAGAGAAAAAGAAAGTAAGAAGATAATAGCAAGAAATAGGTGCAAATTCTTGAAACCAAGGGTGTGACATAGAGGACAATTAAGTGAGATGAAAACCACGGAGAACCAGGGTTCAAATCCAGCAGAGGCAAAACATGCTAGGTGTTTTCTTCCAATCTCCCGGAGCTTTGGTGGGGCAGAGTTATCCGTTACCTGAACTAGTTGAAGGTAGCAAGTACTCAATAAAATAGTCGAGGTTGCTCTAAAAAAGAAATAAGTGGCCAAATACCTGGGGGTTGCTTTAAGGTTGTCGAGGACACGTCTGAATGACGGATTACATATTCCAAATAGTTCCTGCACTATAATCCCTGTTATGATATGAAAATTACTCAACTGTCAAGGCTAATATTGCTGTTTAATCTCTGTAGCTTTCATCACACACAATTTCATCACTTTCTACTATATGGTCTCTTGTGCAGTTCAGAGACCTAAAGTATTTTATTCATTGGTTGGCAGATTGATAGTAACACAGACGGGCTTGTTGATTTCCCGGAGTTTGTGGCCGCCACTCTACATGTCCATCAGTTGGAGGAGCATAATTCTACAAAATGGCAGCAAAGATCACAGGCTGCTTTTGAGAAATTTGATGTTGATAGAGATGGATTCATAACTCCTGAAGAACTTAAAATGGTTAGTATCTGATGTTTTCTGCTCAAGTGAAAACAGTGTTATTTACAGATTTCTTCCCAAGAGAAAGGGTTCATAGCATCTTGAATGTCAGTTATTACAATATTAACCATGTTGTTGACCAACCCTACTATTGTTTTGCAGCACACGGGTTTGAAAGGCTCGATAGACCCACTTTTAGAGGAAGCGGACATTGACAAAGACGGGAAGATAAGCCTGTCAGAATTCCGTAGGCTTTTAAGAACTGCTAGTATGAGTTCACCAACGGTGAGAGATTCACGGAGAAATGTAGCTTTGTAAAATATGTATAAACGGAGAGGTGGACTTCATCAGAAAATTTTATGGGAAGACGACAATGCTCGTAGACATGTTCTCTTGTGCTTGCGCGCGCTTGCATGTCTCAGAATGGAAGGCTCCCGATATGATGGTGTTTAGAGACACGTAGCCACGTGGCACTGTGTAGCTAGTGGTCGCGTGCCAAGTGTGTTTTGTTGAGTTTCCTTTTGCACTTCACAAAGAATTTTTGCATGAAGTTGCTTTTTTCCCTAAACAACCAGTTGCACATGTCTGTAATCTGGTAGTTCTAGTGTATATTCTTCTTTGTCTCTGTTGTGAGTCTCCAGGTTCTTCCTCCCTTTGAAATTTCTAATATTATGTCATATATACGACATAAATGTAAATTGGCTGTATCAAAAGGTTTGTTCTGTATGATTTATGGCACTTGTTCAGAAACTCGGTTGAGAAAGGTTAGGTTTTAGCACTCAAGGGTGCGGCCTGGTGGTTCACTGAGGGAGGAGAACTTGTGAGGTTTCAAGTTTAAATTTCTGCGGAGGCATAAAATAAATATTAGATAAGTTCTTCTCTTTCGATACCACCTAATGGAATAGTTGAGGTGAGCGTGGAGCTGTGGACACCACAAATGAAGTAGATAATGTCATAGTAGGCATAATATTTTGGAACTTCATCATTTAAGCAAACGTTTGGCTATAGATTCCTAAATTTATTTTTAAAAAAAAATTGATTTGGGTGAAGTTTGGTTTGAAGATGAAAATTTATTTGGACATAACTTTTCAAAACATATTTTACTTTTTTTTTTTGTGGAAAAACATGAAATGCTACTAGTACCCATAAGTTTTAAGAACTATCGAAAATACTCAACTAACTCTGAAGAAAATTTATACAAAACAAGCGAAATAAATCTAAAGAAAATTTATACAAACATTAGTAGATTTTAGCAAATTACTTTCAAATTTTATCCTTGCGGTGGATTGCCACAGATTGGCACAACAACTTTGGCGAAGGTTTTCTACTGTTTATAGAGAAGGGCAAAACCGCGTGAGTTTAATGAAGGAAAAGTGGGCAGATATGGATTAGTTGGGTCATAATAACAGAAAGTCGGCTTTTTTTATAAAATATATAATTTTTGAATTTTCTTTAAAAGCTAAACAGTAATATTTTGGGCCAAAAACAGCTCTTGAGCTGGTTTTGGGATTTGAAAACTTGCCAAAATATAGATAAAATCTATAAACAAACAGGTATTTGCCAAAAAAATTTGGAAAAATCTATGATCATAGGGGGATTGAGCCATCCGAAAGCTAACTTAACAAGGCAAGGAGAATTGGAAGGAACAATAAACTTCAACATATTGCATGTATAAAATTTTAAAGAGATAAAGGGAGACATATGAAATAGTCTAACTATAATGAATTAGTACTCTGCCCATTGCAGTTTGTTTGGAGGGTTGTTACGTATCGTTTCATAATATATCGTTTTGTATTGTATTGTACTGCATTGTTTTGATGAAACAATATTTTAGACAGATTGTATCATTTATCGTTATTTCATAATGTCACGCACCAACAATATGAATAAACTTGTAATATTGTTAAAAAAAGGCACATGGAAGAATTATTGTATCAAAAGACAGGGGAAGAAATAACACATTTATCTTTTTTCTCCTTTTTTTGAGTTATTCATCATTTTTTCCATTTATTTATATTACAAATTCTATCTTCATAACTCACACCTCTTTATCTTCATAACCTATATTTTTAATAATCTCAATAACTCCCATGCCTTTCACATTCACAACCTCTAAATATTTAATGTATAAGTTTATGACAATTTATTACATGTTCCTCCACATGTACTTATATAAGGACTTCTATGTTTTGAACATATATGATTGATACATGTTCCTCCACATGTACTTATATAAGGACTTCTATGTTTTGAACATATATGATCGATACTAACTTTATATTCTATTTATAATAATTTGAGCTATCTCTATATCAAAGGTTGTAGTGGAAAAGAAAAATTATACTAAGGTATGGTATAATTTTTATTCGTTGTTTTTTGTTTAAGGTAAATGCAAGAAGATATTCAATACAAACGTGAATCTCTAGAAGAATGTTTAAGAGAAAGTGTCAAATAATGAGGTGAAGATTGAAGTAAAGCATATTTCACAATTCTCATTAATGGTCTTTGATTTTGTCATCTTTAGGTTTATGTTGTATAAGTTGAAGTAGTGATTTTTTTTTCAAATAATACATAGATATTTTGATATCTGGTTTTTTTGTATATATTTATACTCTACAATTGCAATAACTTTGAGTCGTGATGTTCTCTGATGTCGAAGTGAGATTCTAATGTGTTTTTCTTTTCCTGTTATAAATAGATTTATCATTTTTATAAATATATTTTTCTATATGTTGTTAATTCTTTTTGCCTCTATTTCTTTTCTTCAATGAACTTTTTTGAGTTGTTTTTCCTTGTCCGAAGTTGTTTCTCTTCTAACACTAAATAACTCCTTAAATTTCCTTCAAATGGGTTTTGTAAATTTATACCATATTTACTAACGTTCTTTTTCAAAATTCTCAGTTCCTTTCAATGTTTTCATAATACTCAAAGATTTATTTATTTTTGGTGTTCAAAAGAAAAAGGAAGAAACCAAAGTAAATAAGAATGAGATCAAAAGAAAAATGGCCCTACAAAGAAAAACTATAGCGCCATGACCTTTCTTGAGGAACGAAGATAATTCTACCACCATTATCGTAAAAACTTTATTTGTGTTATGAAGGTTGTGCCAAAAAATTCAAACATTTAATTCACTAGGTATTAATCTATGACATTGACAATTTGTAGATAACTTTAAGTTAACGTATAATATAATCTAATTAATTAAGAAATCATATTGTAACGACCCGACCGGCCGCTCTGAGCAATTGCACTTCGCTTGATAGTTTTCGGGCATAAGTAGCTCTGTATGATGTATTATGACTTATGTGAATCGTCGGTTTTGTTTTTTAGGTTATTCGGAATTGATTTGGAAGAATGATTCTCAGCTAGAAGCATTAAATTTGAAAGGTTTGACCAAGTTTGACTTTTTAGTATTTGACCTCGGATTGAATTCCTGATGGTTCCGTTAGCTCAGTTGGTGATTTTGGACTTAGAAGCGCGTTCGGATTGAGATTTGGAGGTCCGTAGTAGAATTTAGCTTGAAATGACGAAAGTTGGAATTTTGGAAAGTTTGATGGGAAGTGGACTTCTTGATATCGGGGTCGGATTCCAATTTCGGAAGTTGGAGCAGGTCCGTAATATCAAATGTGACTTGTGTGCAAAATTTGAGGTCAATCAGACATGATTTGATAGGTTTCGGCATCGGTTGTGGAAGTTTGAAGTTTCAAGTTCATTGATTTCGAATTGAAATGTGACTCGTCGTTCCGATGTTGTTATGTGTGTTTTGAGGCCTCTAGTAGTTCCATGTTATGATATGAGACTTGTTGGTATATTCGAACGGGGTCTCGAGGGACTCGGGTGAGTTTCAGATATGTTTGGGTTGTGTTGCGCTCGTTTTTTATATTTCGACGTCGTTTCTTCAAGAATAAATGATACCACATTAAGCAAATAAGTTCCTATCACTATTTTTATTAAAGCATTACATTCATATCGTAAGTACAGAGCCATAGCAAAAAGAATCGTCGAATTTGGACATCGTATAAGGGAGTTATGCTCATTTTAGTGTCGAAGAAGAAAGCTGGTATTGGTGTTTAGCAGATGCGAAGTTGGGTGTGCATCTGCGGCCCCGTGGGTGCGAATTACGGTCAGCAAAAGCGGAAATGACAGCTGAAAATGCACAGGTGCGGAGTTTTTATCGCAAAATCGAAAATCCATGTGTATAAAAAAATCAGACTGCGTTCTTTTGGTATTTTGAGCATATCTTGAGTTCTAGAGCTCCGATTGAGGTGATTATCGCGGCGTTCTTCTCTTCTTTTCATGGGGGTCAGTATATAACTATAATTTTTGTATTTTAATATGATCACAGAAGTTCAGTTTTGAATTAATCCATATTTTGATTGGAGAATTGAGGATCTTTATCAAAGACTTTTCTAAAGTGAGTAACTGAGTTTTGAACATCGATTCAGAGTCAAAATTGGATGAAATTAGTATGGTTGGACTCATAATTGAATATGTTGTCGGATTTTGTGAGTTTTATCGGGTTTCGAGGTGCGAGCCTAGGTTGCACTTTTTGGCCGATTTTGGGCTTTGATTAAAGATTCGACCTTTTTCGATTGGGATTGGTTACTTTAACATTATTTGATGTATTTGAGTTGTTTTTAGTTAGTTTCGTTCTATTCGGAGGTCAGAACGCGTAAGATGGCATTTTTGGAGCATCGTTTGGCTTGCTCGGTATTGGAATTGGCTTGTTCGAGGTAAGTAACTCTTCTAAACTAAGTGCTGAGGGTATGAAACTCCGAATTACGTGCTATGTGACTGGTATTGAGGTGACGCACATGCTAGGTGACAGGTGTGTGGGCATGCACCGTGTGACTTGTGGCTCCACTATTCCTGTGGTACTATGTAGTTATCTGATCTTACATGTCATCATGAAATTTCTACGTAGTTGAGCTATTGAGCGGTGATCCATATTAGACACCATGTCTAGGCTACATGTTTATCATGTTGGGACCCACTGAGGTCATTTCTACTGTTGAGTTATTTGCTTTCATTGCTTTATATACTTAGTCTTACGCATTCATATGCATATCATATCTCAATCTCTGCTGTTATTTATTGATACATCATATCATCATATTTGGGCTAGTTTTATGACATTGTGAGCCCGAGAGAGAGAGAGAGACTGGAGAGATTGATGATTGAGTGAGGCCGAGGGCCTAATTCTTAGGATATTGATACTATAACACGTGAGTTATCCGTGCAGATTCTGATATTGATACTTTAGCACGTGAGTTGTCCGTGCGGATTATGATATTGATACTATGGCACGTGAGTTGTCCGTGCAGATTATAGTGCTTGGGCTGTAGGAGCCCCTCCGGAGTCTGTAGACACCCCTAGTGAGTGTGGTTGATTATATTGGGGGTGGACTTTCCCTGGACATGAATCTTGTTTGAAGCATTTATATACCCGGAGATGGATCTTCTCCATGGGACCGGATTGGCCTTCCTCAGTACTGAGTGACTGATGGTCAGTGATGTATATATTCCGGGATGGATCTTCCCTGGGCCAAATGGGACATATATAGTACCGAGTGGTTGAGCACGATGAGTGGAAAGTGTGAGTCAGTGAGATTGAGTACTCTGAGAGAGTGAGTACATGATTCATCTCTGAGATACATGGCATTGGCATGCACACATGACATACAGGCATAGAGATGCATTTTTCCTCATGTTGTACGGTATCACGTCATTCA